TGATTGATTGATTCGTTTGCAGTGTTTTTGAATTTTAGTTTTCGAAAAAAAATTTTTTGCCCTGAAAGTAATTTTTAAAGGATCATTGCAACTTTTGAAGATGGTTTTATTGCAGAACCGTTATCAGTGTGCGTTACCCACAACAACGACTGAGAAAACATCGGATTCAGCGGAAGGTCGTTTCAATTTGGAGGATGCAAAGCGAGAAATGCGAGAGGCAGATCAATTCGACAAGGCGGCCTATCGAGAGAGAATGAAGAAACTTAGACAGGTGTGGTTTCTTTTGGAGCAGATTCGCTGATTTGTTGATTGGCAATTGATAATTTGAAGAGTGCGAAATTTTATTGATGTAAAGCTAATTGAATGTGATCTAATTGGTGTGTTCCATTCGCAGGAGAAGAAAGCGAAACTGAAGAAGAAACTGAACGAACAAAGGAAAGGAAACGAAGAGACAAGTGGTGGTGCAGTGTTGGATCTGGCTGATCGACAAGGGGATTCCGGAGAGTCTGGTGGAGAGGATGCCGGAGGCAACGAAGATCTATCGTGGTTACCGGATCCGGATAAACCGAAGAAATACGACGAGCAATGGAATGAAATTGTTGATGATAATGCTGATGAAGGAAATGAACCGAGGGTTGAGGTATTGTTGTTACTATCAGTATTAATTTCATTATTATTAGTGAATGAACGAAAATGAACGTTATTCGCAATAAGGCAGTAGTTGTCAATCCTTTTCGTCTCGTGCACCCCCTAGAAAATGGTTTCAAAATCCATATGTATATAGGACAATTGATAACTTTGGAATGTGCATTAAATGTACAAAAACGTCTTAATTTTCTTTCAGCAACGTATCACGAGTGGCGATGGCGATGTGACGGAAAGTTTGAAGAAGAAGAAGCGGAAAAAAGAAATTCCGAATGAAAAAATGAAAAAATCGCAAAAAATTCGAACGAGTAACGTGATCGATGCTGAAGCGAAGGCATTGGCATTGCTGGAAGGAACAAACTGATTTATAATTATCATTGTTATTGTTGTTATAATATTGTTATTGTTAAATTGCTATAGAAGTGTTACGTTGTGCAGAGTGATGTGTTCAATTGATCAATAAAGAAGTTGAAGTGATCAGATGAAATTTAGTTTATTTTCAAGTGCGCTGATATCGTTTAAATGCGATTTTTTAAAAATATTTTTATTTTGATTTGCAAATTTGGATTTGTTAAAATAATATCTAGATTTGTTGAAAAGAAATATATTCATGGAATATGTCTAATAAACACTTTGGTGATTAATGAAGTAGCATTTTGATTTCAGCCGTACACAATACAATGGCACAACCGTACAAACGCTTACAACGCCTTCGGAGTGGCAAATACGAGAAATTGCTCACTGAAGATGTTTTGTACTGGAAACGCATGAAGGTTTCGCANTTTTCAGCAATTAGCAATATTCCAAGAACCCGGCATTATGACATCGACAAGTTTCTCACCGGTTGAGCCATACTATGTTGCGAGTACGTCATCAATAAGGGTCAGTATCTGATATTTGCTTAATTCGAATGTTTTTTTGAACTTCATCTTGAGATATTTCGATTTTGCATTGCGATTTTCATTTTCCACAAAAGGCACCCCTGGTGTCACGTTGAAAGTTTTCGAATTTTGCAAAGCAATATTTTCCATGTTCAGTTGTCAGTATTTGATACGTTGATATGTGAACCGGTGACGATGTACAGTCGTTTCAAAGAAGCCGTTTATGGGGTGACGTTTCGGAACGATGGAAAGTTAATTGGTACCATTTTAAACTGTTTTAATTCATGAATTTATTTGATA